GGAGAACTGGTTTCTGTCCCTGTCTTGCCAAGAGATGCCTCATCACTACAGCTTCTTTTTTAATCATGTGTGATGCTGTATGGAGGACTGTTCATAGAATATACACATCCTTCAGTAAGGAGTTAAGATGGCCTGTCCTGTGGCTGGTATGCCTTCATGTAGAAGAAACAGTATCTGTAGTGAGGAAGGAAGTAAAAGGCCTATCATTCCAGTCCAAAATAAAAGCATTAAGTGGTTTTTGTGGAATGCAACCTTTTACAGGCTTGAAAAAATGTCACTAGTAGCAGGGGAGCAGTGAGAAATCCTGATGTACCATACTCTTCTACTCCAATACAATAGACTAACTTTTAGTTAAAAAAAAACCAAAACACAACTGTTTTGAAGACCCCTTTTTTAATAAAACAGAAGAAAATTTTGGCTTGACATAATTCCACTTCTAAGATGCTTGCTTCTTAACTACGGTGGAGGGCAAAGGGATATGGAACAATGAGTTGCTTGCTTTATGGTGCATCGAAGAGGCCTGGCAAAATTAGAATCTCTTTTAGTAGGAGTAGATGTGTATTTGGGAATATCTTAACTGGAGGGTCCTGAAAACTAAAATGAGAAGATTCTCTTGGTCAGATTAGGGCAAACAGCTACAGAATGAACACAAAGGATGCAGCTGTGTTGAATTGTGGCTATGTTTTTTTTGGTAGCTGTTGCGTGCAAGACACTGACATGTCACCATATGGGATTTTTTTTTCTTGAGTTCCTTATGACTCAACATGTAGTTGATGTGGTCCACCCAATTTCTCTCCTATTTCAGGAATGTATAGGAGGTATTCTGAAAATCTTGTGTCTCCTTTGAAATGGAAAGTATTCTTGATGGACCACAGATCCTCCCTGAAATGCTGACCTTTTGTTGCATAAGTGACTTTTGCACTGATGGTCACTGGATTTGAGTCTATTCAAGCTCTTGCCATTTAGATACTTTTCAGAGTTACCTGCTGTGATCAAGTCCAGCAGAAGAAATGAAGAAGTGGACGTTTGTGAAACCTTGCGGTAGCTTCTCCTTCTGTTTCTCTTGCAGCACAGCTTGAAATGGGCTAAATAGGATACTGCAAGCTCTTGCTCTTTTGGAAGCTGGATTCCAGCTGTCTTTCAAACTTGGCCTTAGAAACTAAATTGAACTCGGAAGTTTCCAACAGTAAAATTTCTTTGGGTGCACCAACAAGAGTCACATCCCATTAGGATGGAATAAAGTAGCTAAAGGAAAAAAGGCTGCTTGGGTTTCTCTGCAGTCCTTGAGACCTGGTGGACAACATCAGTTCTCATAAATGGTCCTGGGCTGCCTTATTATGGTGTGAGCATGCTTGGCTGGGGTGTGTGATTGCTCAGTCACCTCTTGCTCACTGGCATGTTTGCCTTAGCAGCAGCAATAGCTTCAGTGTGTTTTCATGAAATCACCCTGGGGCTTAGCGTGATCCACCACCCAAACCCCTTATGCAATACGGTTGGCCTCAACACAGCTCAGCTGAAAAAAAGGGGCAAAGAAAGATAGAAGGAAACTGCAGTCCTCACCCCAATAGCAAACCAGTGCTGCAGCTCCAGGACCGAAGTGGTCACCTAGAGCTGCTTTTAGTCCTGTGAACTTGTCTCTCTGGATCTTTGGAGATAGAGGTCCTCTAACAGAACATGGCATCTGGCAGGAGAAACCACAGATGTCAGGGCTAGCTCCAAAAGACAAGAACAGCTTTGTTGCTAGTTCTGTAAAACGATATAGACAGTATTTTTTACAAGTCTGTGTTCTCTTGGAGTGTGGATAGGTAGATATATCTATTATAGCTTAGATCTTGTGAGAACAGCAACAGGACTAACTGAGGACCTGAGTAAGTACCTCACCGCCACTGCTGTTGCTCATTCCTAATTTGCCACGAAAAGAAGGAAAAAAGAAACTCCCAAATCCAAACCTACACTACTTAAAACTGGGTTCTAACAAGAGAGGATGGCAGTGAGAATCTTCCACTAATCTCCCTGCATGAGTGCAGATAGCCCTGTCCTGCCCCGCTCTTTATGGGAATGCGAGGAGGGGTGATAGAAAGCAGAGAGCTCTGTGACATGCGGCATGCTGGAAAGGTTGGAACAGCACTGCTTAGATTCAGGGTGCGGGGAGAAGTGTTCCAGTTTACAAATGCATACTCCAAACTCTTGGTTGACTGTTGACTGATTTCATTACTACTCTGATGGACCAGAATCCTCACGAGGGTAATTATTCTGGGAGGGGAAACTTGCAATCAGTAAAATCAGGTTTGAAGCATTGTTAGACTGTCATGTAAAGTCCTTCCTGAAAAAGGCACAGGTGGAGAGGACTTTCCTATAGAATGTGAGAGTCATTATAGTGACTCCCAAAGGCTCTAGGAGTTGGTCTGAAAGGACCTGTAGTATGACAGGAATCTGTGTAAGCCAGATTCCTGGCTTACAAATTTGATGGTGACTAACTTGATTAAAACTATAAGTGGTAGGAATTATTCTGTCAGCTGCAGGTGCAAGCTCTTCCTTGTTCCTGGGCCTTGTAAAGACCCACTTTAGACTGAGCTTCTCCTCGAGTTGTTTCTTTTCCCCAGTTGATGATTGCAGAGAAACAGCAAAGTTGCTATAGACAGAATAGGCATGTGCCCCTCTAGCGTGTTCACTGAAATTGCAGGTTTAAGAGGGTGGTTGAGCTCTAAACTGACAAGCTCTGCTCCTGAATAACTGAAGCGGTAATCCAAACCTCTTCAAAATGACTTAATTTTTTACTAGAGACTCAGTGGTGTTGATTATAGCCTCTTCCTACAAACACTCTCAAAAAAGGTCTATCTAAATAATCATTCAGCCAGACCTGGTCACACCCTCAGCATGGCAGCTTCTGGTGTGTTTTTTTCCCTGATAATGCTCAGCCCATGTCTTTTTAGCCTGATGTGCATTATAGCACTGCAGGCTATGCAAGCAGGTGTTTGAGTTACCATATGTGGTTCTGACAGAGTTGGTTTAATTCTGAATTAAAGGATCAGCCTTTTGAATAGCAGAGTAAATGACCAGTTCTGGTGATGAAGTTTGTCTGCAAAATGGCTCTGTCACATCATGTGAAAGTAGAGATAGTGTCCTTTTACTTCTATAGCTGTAGTTAGAATCATAGAATCGTTTAGGTTGGAAAAGACCTTTAAGATCATCCAGTCCAACCATCAACCCAACACCACCATGCCCACTAAACCATGTCACAAAGTGCCACATTTACCTGGTTTTTGAACACTTCCAGGGATGGTGACTCCACCACCTCTCTGGGCAGCCTGTTCCAATGCTTGACCATTCTTTCTGTGAAGAAATTTTTCCTAATATCCAATCTAAACCTCCCCTGATGCAGCTTGAGGCCGTTTCCTCTTTTCCTATTGCTAACTACTAGTTGCAGGCAAAGACAAGTCTGCCATGTGCAAGAAACGGCAGACCACCGAAAAACCCAGTCAAGCCACTTTTATTACTTAACTTATTCTTAAGAAGTTGGATCCTCAGTAATGTACAATAACACACAAACCTTTCAGTCCACTGCCCCCCTCTTTTTCGGGGTGCAGGTGGGAGAGAACACTAAAAATAACAAAAAAGTGAGTGTTTGTGTGAATGATCCCATTCCAGCTGTTTTAAATGCTCGGGTAGATTGGAAGTGGTGCTGGGGAAGGGAAAAACTGGAGGCACTGGTAATGAAAACTACCCATATGAGAAACGCAATCCTGAATCACAGTGATGTGTTTGCCTACCATGTAAGATTTATAATGAGGGGTGGAGAGGACTATGAAGTGGGAAAGGGGAAACTAGTAGGCTTTTATAAAATGGATCTAGATATTGTATGAGGCGTTACTGTTTGTGTAACTCTTACTGAGTATCCAGAGTGACTTTGGGGCTGGCTGGTGTAGATAGATGTCTTGCTGGGTCTGTGAAGTTTTGCTTCCAAGCTTATCAACAAACCTCTTCTACAAATAAAACTAAGGGCGGTTGGTGGAGATGCTAGGTTAAGTGACAGGTCAGCAGTCTGTTGTGTCCTTGTGGTAACTCTGATCTTATGCTAAGACTATTAGAAATACCTTCATAGTATTAATGTTCTGTTCTAGCAGTCTAATGAAGCAGCTGTTTAGACACAGGAAACCCCTCTCCAGAGCCTGACTGATTTTTCTGCTCTTGTGAGCTTTATTACTGCAGTATTTTGCTTTGTGCTTCACCACTGTGTCCTGTGTTAGGGTCAGTGGTGCTCTCAGCATGCTTTTGGGCAAACAATTCTTGTTGCATAGGTTGGTGGACTTAGTACTTGGATATTAGGTATGTGCCCTGCAAGGCCAAAGCATTGAGTTCATGCTTCAATATTGATTAGCATTTGTTGGCCTTGTGAAAGAAAAGGGTATTTTTAAAACAGAATTAGATCTGTTGGGGTATTTTAAGCATAGGGGGGCAGAACTGAGTGAAAACAGGCAATGGGGGTCTTACAAAGTGGGAGACTTCAAGACAAATGCAGGCAGCAGTATATTTATATCAGGGAACAATATATGATAAATTGTGTGTTTTCAGAAAATGGAATGAAAAAAATGAACTAGCTATTGTCAATTTTTGTAATGGGGCATGAAAATGTGGTGGTGGTGTTTATCAGTTAATGTACAAGGCAACACGCTAATGTCTGGTGACAGCAATTCCAAATCTGGATAAAGAAAGTTCAGCCATCTAATAGGCGTTCAGCCTATCTAATAAAAGATAAAGCACAGCAAATACATCCTTCTTTTCTACTCTTTGACCAGTTCTTTGGGCAGTGATAGGAATGAAACAGTTTGGGTTGCTGTGGGGATTTGATATCCTGATAAACACCAGCCTTTTAACCAGGGCTCAAGGCAGTGGCTGACATGAGCATGTCTCTGAGGTGAAGCTAGCTGAGGTATAGTATATATGTGGACAGCTCTGAGGCTGCCGATCTGATTCTTGTTTTTTTTTTTCTTTCAGATGGAAAGAATGCGAGTGGATCCAAACAGCGTTATAATCGTAAAAGAGAAACTTCATATTCAAGAAATGAGAACTTTTCCAGTCAGTCCCGTCGCTCCAATTCACAGAAAAGCAAAGCTTTTAACAAGATGCCCCCTCAAAGGGGAGGTAGCGGCGGGAGTGGCAAACTTTTTAGCTCTTGTAATGGTGGAAGACGAGATGAGGTGAGAATTGTAATGCCATGCCTCCAAGGCCTTCTTTCTTGGGACGAGAGGATCACTCTGACCTGCCTAGATAGGTCTTCTGTGTTCAGCTCCTGGGCTGGGAAGGGAAGGAGCAATAAGAGGTGCTAACATCGTTGAGATGCCAGAGTGAGTGTGAGCAGAACAACTTGGCAACAACAGAAGAGGAGTGCTCTCTGCTCTGAGAGACTTGCAATAAAAAATACCATCTGAGGAATGGGTACATAGACAGGCCATGTACATATCTCGTGAAACAGAGGTCCTTCGTGAAAATATCTAGTGATACAATTTCTAGCTTTCAAGTCTGAGGTGATTGTGTCTAACCACTTCAGTGTACGAATTTGCATGTGGTAGTGGCATTGTGAAAGTAATGGTATTAGCCTTGGTGACATCAAGATGGAGTAAAACCAGACTGAGGCTTTTATGCTGATGTGGGTTTAAATACTGTAGACTATTTGTGGGTTTGCATTGATACTCTCATTTTTCAGTTTTAGTGGATGAGCAACATTGCTCACCTAAATTGCTCTGTCAAAACTCACCTGCTGTCTCTGTTGAATTCTCATTCTTTGCTTCATTATATGAAAACTAACCAAAACAAGTACAACCCGTGCAAATACTAATCAGACTTGTATTACTGGCTGTCTAAAAAAATATTGTCAGGATTTGAACAACTTTCTTCTGTTATTAACCTTGACTGCTAGGTTTTGCCAGCTTTTACTTGTCCTTATGTGGGTTGTTTTTATGCTCTCCTCCTTCTGATCAGTGTCGGGTAAGACCACTCAGTTCTAACTTTCAGGTTCTCATGTACTTCTAACGCTGCACTACTTGATTTGCAGAACTGGAATGGGAGAAGGTGAGTGAGTGGATGCTGCGTATTCTGTACATAATCACTTATGGGGCCTGGGTATCAGCTTGTACTGATGCTTTTGCAGTAAATTCTGGAGAATTCTAACAAATGCTGTTGTCTCTTAGGTAGCAGAGGCTCAGCGGGCAGAGTTCAGCCCTGCCCAGTTCTCTGGTCCCAAGAAGATTAATCTGAACCACTTACTGAACTTCACTTTTGAACCCCGTGGCCAAGCAGGCCATTTTGATGGGAATGGACATGGCAACTGGGGGAAAAGGAACAAGTGGGGACATAAGCCTTTCAACAAGGAACTCTTCCTACAGGCCAAGTGAGTGGAAGACCAGCAGGGCTCTTAGACTTCTGCAGAGAGACAGAGCTGTAAGGGATGATCAGCCAGGGAATTGTGTTTGACCTTGACTACTTGTATTGACGTTTCCAGGGTGAAGTTACCTCTCTGTAGTGTTTTCAGTGGTAACGACTATACTTGAGAGGGGTAAAAATATATCAAGTTGTTGTCTTCACAATGTGTCTGATGGATTGAGTCCTTTAGATACAAACCAGTTAGTCTTCTGCTCTAATTTTCTAGCACCACTTGTGGAATATGACATTCAGTTTGGGAAGACCTGTGTAGCTCCCTTACAGAAGACAGTTGTTTTTTCAAAAAAATAGTGTGTTGAGATGATAGGGGTAGCAGTTGCTGAATGAAAGCTAATCTGAATTTATAAGTCCCAGAAGAAATTACTCATGGATCTGAGTTCTTAAACTGCTGATTATTTCACAGGCCCCTAGGTATGCAGTATAACTCAAACGATGATCAGTATAGTAATCCAGCAGCAGAATGGCTTTTGACTGGAAATAATGGTCACTTTCAACAGAATTTGAAGTGTGTTCAGGAATTCCTGTGTCTGATCACTTTAAAGTAATTAAAAACTATTTTCAGCATTGATACTTCCGATTTTTCCCTATTGTTTTGTGGCTTATTGTAATGAAGTCTATTTGCAGGAACTGCAGTAGTCCTAGTTTTTGTGAGCATATTTTTCCACTTGTGGATTCCCTGTTTTTTAATAGATCCCTGATGGAGCTGGCTGTTTCTTACATGTTTCTGGAAAACCACTCTGCCTGGCTCATTCTGTAGTTAGTATGTGATGTTGTGTCTAACTGAAATTAAACACACCTGTATTCTGCGAATCTGGTTGTGAATTGAACTATTTTGGGTTTTGTTGGTAAAAGTTACTGACTGCATCCAGCAGTTTTCTGCTGGACAAAGCAGCAGCTCAGAGTATCCTCTAGGATAGTTCTCAAAGAATTTTTAGAAACAACTGAGTGGATCATCTGTCTCTTTGCCTTTCCCCAGCTGCCAATTTGTTGTCTCTGAAGAACAGGACTACACAGTCCACTTTGCTGATCCAGATACCTTGGTCAACTGGGACTTTGTGGAGCAAGTGGTCAGTTGTGATGGGCTAGATTTTTTTTTTTTTTTTTTTTAATTATTATTAAGAAGCTCAACCTGTCTTTAACTGCCTCTTTATCTCTGTGATGTTACATAAAACTCAGCTGGTTTTGAGTTGAGGCCTCTTCTGTCACTCCCACAATACTGGGAAAGATCTGTCATGGAATATATTATGAAATACTTTCATGACAGAAAAAGAGAAGTGCTAAAATCTATTAAGAAAATTAGCAGCTTCTTCTTGCTTTCGCAGATGGGAGCTCATCAAAAATAGTATCTGACATTCTGTAGACAGAGTCCTTGTGATCGAGATATTAACAGAAGACTTGGGCATGAGTCCATGGAAGAGGACTAGAGTATAGAATTTTGAAGAATTATTCTGTGCATAGGTGGTGCATCTTGCCTAGCAACAAAATGGAAAATCTCTTGAGAATTGTGGTCAGAACTTTGGGTTGCCTCAAGCGAAACTTATTATTTGCCAAGACTAGTCTTCGTGTAGTCTTGTAGCTGGAGAGGAGGTAGCCTTAATGTTGCCTGACGTTACAAGAGAGCTGAAAAATCTAGGTGCTTGCTTGGCAGTTACGTCTCTGCAACATACAGATGCTAACAAAGTGTCTGACTAAACTAGCACATTCATGGAAATAGGTAAGTTCAGTCTTGCAGTTAAACAGGGCTACACAAGTCTGCTTGTGTAAGTGAGGCGACAGAGCTCATTTGCTGTCTTCTCAGTGTCTGAATTTGGATGACGAAGATGCTGCTAACTCTTAGAGATGATGAGTACATGAGGGGAAGCATGAGAAGAGTTACTTTTTTAATGTCATTAGAGTAGAAATACCAGATAGGTGGCTTTGACGGTTATTCCATGTGCAGTCTGAAGGTGTTACTTAATTCACAGTGTACTTAATTTCTTGGTAAATAAGCAGAGCCTAAAGAGCTGGAAGATTAATGTGTTAGAGTAGATCTCACAGGTGGCTTATTCTGTGGCACAGGAACTGATTTCCAAGTCTAAAACTTGTACTATTCTTCTCATGTGCCATTTCAGCGAATTTGTAGCCATGAAGTGCCCTCTTGCCCAATATGTCTGTACCCACCAACTGCAGCAAAGATCACCCGCTGTGGGCATATCTTTTGTTGGGCATGTATCCTTCACTATCTCTCCTTGAGTGAAAAGACCTGGAGTAAATGTCCTATTTGTTATGGCTCTGTTCACAAGAAGGATCTCAAGAGGTGAGACAATGTTTATTAAATGATGTATCTTTTTTAAATGTTATTTTTACCCTACTAACCTTCTCCTTACATTGCAGCGTTGTTGCTATGGAAACACGTCAATATGCAATTGGTGATACCATTACGATGCAACTTATGAGACGAGAGAAAGGTGTTCTGATAGCACTGCCCAAATCTCAGTGGATGAATGTGGTGCAGCCTGTTTACATCGGAGGTGAGTGTATCTGAGTACTGGTGGTTGGCATCCTGCTCCTAACTGTGACTAGGACTTGTGTAGAGAGGACTTACCATGGTAATGCCAATGTCACCTTAAAACAAACCAGACTACAAAACATGGGTTTTAGCAGCTGAAAACTTTAATGGCCACATACTGTTAATAAGCTTTCTACCCACACTTTGTTTTTTATAAGGCTTTAATTTGTGTGCTGTTCCCCTTCAAGTTACTGCACTGCAGGCTCCTGCCTTCTCAGTCATTGGTATTTGTTTGATGTGTGTTTTGTATTGTACAGTCATTGGTGTAACTTGCTGCTTTTGTTGGCTCTTCAGTGTCCTCAACCTTTTTCCTCCTGGCTCCTCATTATACATCTTAGCGAAAATAACTGTGTCTGTGTCTAAACTATTCCAAGGATGTAATCTTCAACACAATTTTCATCATCTTCACTTATCAACTAAAATCTGTGAATGATATGGGAAAATAATCAAAATTATTGCAAACCTATTCCAAACATCTGTTGCCTGACTTCAGTTTTTTCCAGTCAAGTAGTGTGACTAACACATCATCATCTTATCTGTTAGTATCACAAAAATTTTGTGACTAAAGAAATAATTTTACTTAACATTGCTGTTTTGTGGGCTGTCTTGGCTCACTTCATTTTGCAGTCACATTTATGAAGGGCTGCATGCATTTAAGCGCTCTGTAAAAAGTCAAGTCTCCTAATGCATGATGGGTATCCAGCATGCAGGGTGTGTGCTTCTCAGTATTTGGAAAGTAGAGGACTTTAGATCCTTTCATAAAACAAACAAAAGAACAAATATGGGATTTGAGATCATTCTAAACCCAGGAAATTCAGCATTAACTTGGTGTTCTGTAGACAAGGTTGGACCCTTGGGGAGCAGTGAATATAGGGACTGTACTACTATATGATGCTATGGTTGCTGTGAAGTTTATAGTTAAGATAAACTCTCTAGTAACAAAGATGACTACCTTTTGCTAAACTTGCCATTCTTTAGCTTACTATTTCTGCTGTGCCTCTTGTAAAAACCTCAAAATAATGTTTTGTATGGATTTTTAATATGTATGGGCTTATGAACTAGTTTGAGCCAAAACAGAGGTCACTTTTTCAGAACTTTCCAGTGGTAAAGTGGCAGATAAACTGCTGTGTGAGGGAGACGTGTAGCAGAACAGGTATGTGGCACCAGCTTGTGTCATCAATGATATAATGGTAATATGCGGAGTCTGTATCAAACTCTTGCTAAGTATTGCCCACCCTGGGGTAGATTAACTCACAAAATTGAGCAGTAACAAAACTTCAGAAGAAACAGCAGTCCAAACTGGTGCCTCTACATGCAAATATTAATGATTTGGTGCTCCTTCTGTTCAGATGACCAGCACAGTCAGTATTCAAAGCTGCTTCTGGCATCCAGGGAGCAGGTCTTGCAGCTGGTGATTCTGGAGGAGAAAGCGGCATTACTAAAACAGTATGAGGAAGAAAAACACACCCCAGAGGCTTGCTTTATTGAGGCAGCTATCCAGGAACTGAAGGTGAGAACCTCTTTGGAGGCTTTTAATAACTTCATTTTTAAGTGTATGCTGAGTGCTGAGCATCTATGTTCCGCTGCATAAGTAGCTGTGTGTGATTATTTTGGTCTCCACGATGTACGTACTAGCAAGGTGGTAATGTTTGCTGCTAGAATAGCGTTATAAATCTTGGGGGAGACTATTGGACCCCAGGTATTTGGCATGATGTTCAAGATGATAGAACAGAATGCTTTTTACTGAACGGTATTCCTTCCATAAATGTGAAGGAGTTCTGCTTTCAAAGGAAGATGTGTTTCCCTTTCAGGTCCAGCAATTTCTGGGATAACTTCTATCAGGCAGACATGAGTGAACCTGTAGAATATTCCTTTCAAAGCCTTTAGGCGTCCTACAATGGGTGTGCTTTCCAGTAACAAGAAGAAGAGGACTTGTCTTCAAGGGTCACTCTTTGTCACAGATGAATGATAGAGCTATGAAAACCTGAAGTATAGGACAAGGCTAAAAATAACTATGGTGATAGTTTCTTGACTTAAATAGGAAATTGAAACTTGTTCTCTTTGGATGACCTGTAGGAGCGAGAAACAGCACTCTCTGCTGACCAGGATAAAAACAATGGCATTGCTGGAATCGGTGCAGCTGTGGAAGAATTGGTCCTAGAAAGCTCCAAGTCTGTGGAGCCTGCAGTTTCCCAAGAGAAAAAGGTGGGTGACAACTCCACTCTGGCAGATCTTGTTAATGTTTAATTCTGCCACTTTACACTGCAGTGTATGGTGAACTGGTGCCAAAGATTTTTGCAGAGATGATAATCTTTTGAAGGAGATGATGTGGTACTAACTATATGCTCTCTGCTGTGATAGTGTGGTGTGGAATATCTCTCTGCATTTGATGAGGAGCTTGTGGAGCCTTGCTGTGATCTGGCAGGTTCCTTTTCACCTCCTGTGGAAGCGGAAGAGGCAGTGCTGGATGAAGAGAAAGTACCTGAGGTGGACACCATAGGGGAACCTGATATGAACACTACAGAAGAACCAAATCCAGCTGAAACAAGCCACCAAGAGTCTAAAGATACAATTAGCAGTGGACATCTTAGCAACTCTCCTTTTTACTATTTCTATCAAGGTCAGTGCAATGAAATCTTGGAGTCATGGGGGTAGAGATGCCTCTTTCGGGATCCTTCTTGAGGAAGATGTTTGTCACTTCATTAGATGCAGCTAACCTCTGTGAAACAGAAGTCCCACAGAAACTCAGAAAGGAGCTTTGATTTTATTACTGGAGAGCGTACTGAGATGGGGAGAAGGGTATTGAAAATTAACAGGCAAAGAACAAGTGATAATATCTTGTCTTATAGCGGAGGACGGACAGTGTATGTATCTTCACCCTGTGAATGTTCGATGTCTTGTTCGCGAATATGGCAGCTTGGAGAAGAGTCCAGAGAAGATAACTGCAGCTGTAGTGGAGATAACTGGCTACTCAATGACAGAGGTAGTTATTTTATCTTCTTATTAATTAAGGGCCCTTGTTTTAGCAGATCGATCATTGTAGCTGATGAGACTTGTTTCTCTTCAGTAATAAGAAATAATAACTTATGAATGGGTAGGCATACTAATCTGTGAAGCGCATCTGTGTGAGGTGCAGTGCCTTATGTTGCTTTTGATAAGTAGGCTGCAGTCCAGCTTTTTTTTTTTTTCCCTAGAAGGTAGGAAGTTCTAGGAGTAAGAGAATTGCAAGCTTAAGACTGGTTTGTTGTTAAAGCTGTCTCAAAAAAAGTGAATTCTTTTCTCATATAAGACAGTAGCTTGAACTAGACAGATTACCATCTTTCTTGGCCTGAAGAAGTGTTCTGCCCCTGTCTTGAACAAACAGTTGTTTGTGAGGATCAAGGGTAGAGGTGGGATGTTACAAAAATAAAGAGGATGGAAAGAAGCTTCAGTGTCTGAGATAGAGGGAGTGAAAGTGCTTCAGGCACTGAAGTTCTGGAAGAGGGGATGGGTCTTGAATTCCTTTACCTCAGATAAAGACAACTGTAAGAATTGGCATGTGCAGTAACAACTATATGTAATTCTTAATTCATCTTTAAAGAAAGGACATGCTCAAGTAAGAATGGATGCAGAGGTAGTAGGGAATTGTCTTCAAGATTTTCAGCTCTATGAGGAAAAATACAAAACTCTGCTTGTTTCAGTCTAGCAAAGTGGTGGTCATTGGTCCAAATAATTTAATTGTAAAACGCAAATTTGGTCCACTGCAAAAATAATTGCGTCGGAAGACTGGTATTGTAGAATTTTATTCTAGTGGTGTGAGTGAGAAGGGAGTAATAACAAGAAGTTCAGTGAGCTGGAGTAACTGCATCCAAATCCAATTATGATGTGGTTGGTGGAGATCTTGGAGCATTTGGTTCTGACCCAGGGCATCTTACACGTATTTGTAGTTTATAAAGAGATTATTGTGTCACTGCTGCTATTTTTTTCCATTTGATTTGATGAATGGAGGGTGTTCTATCTCCATAAGCTATTCATCACTATGGCAGCCTCTAGACTTTGTTGAGATGATGTATCTACTCTTTTTTATCAGGATATAAGACAGCGTCATCGCTACCTCTGTCACTTGCCCCTCACCTGTGAGTTCAGCATTTGTGAACTGGCTCTGAAGCCACCCATCATCTCTAAGGAGACTTTAGAGTTGTTTTCAGGTTGGTACTACCTTTCTAGTAGGCTCTGTCATGTATCTGTGGGGTGAAGGGGAAGTCGTTCTTATCCCTTAATGGCAGAAAAAAGAACATACGTAGCAGCTTTACTCCTCTTGCACCAACTGTCTGATGACAACTAGACAGAACAATCCCAATTCACTGTTTTATAGACAACAATTATACAAAGAATAAAAAAGCCTGACTGTTTGGAAGAGCATACGTTGTTTATAAGCATATTTTGTTACTAATGTGTTATAACTGAATATGTTGTTCTCAATGCTGGAGAAAACATTGCCAAAGTATTGGTGTGGGTTTTTTGATATCAAATGCTGTGCATTGCTCCTAGATGACCTTGAAAAGAGGAAGCGTCTACGGCAGAAGAAAGCTCGTGATGAACGACGACGTGAACGCAGAATTGAGATAGAAGAAAACAAGAAACAGGGCAAATGTAAGTCATGATTGAGCATAACTGGTGGATTTCCAGTCATCTTTAGTTGCTGAGATGATTTCTTGAGCTATAGGGTGAACTCTAAGGCCTTTAGTTTGTAGTATGTACTTAGAACAAGATTACAAGGCATTAGAAACAATGTAGAGTGAAAAATATAAGCTGTTTTAGTCAGGATGTTAAATGATGTTATGCAATTGCTGCATACTTGCACATTATGGGAGAGACAGAGGGCATTTGAGGGCACAGCTATCTCCATGGTGTATATAGCGCTCAGGATTCTCAATTTAGGTTTTTATAGTAATCGTGATATAGAGTAAAAAGTGAAGAAGGAAAAAAAAATGCCTAGGAACTGCTTCCATCCAGCAGCAGGGCTTGTACTGGTCTCTAAAATAGAGGGTGGAAAGAAAATTGAGTTGGCACCTCCTAGACTCCTGAAACAACTTGCATATTGACAGTCCTCCCCCACATTGTGTAGTGCTTTAATTTAAAACCTCTTTCTAGATCCAGAGGTCCATATTGCTTTAGAGAATCTGCAGCAGTTCCCTGCTTTTACCTCTTGCCCTGGAGAAACTACCAGCATTGATCATCAGAGCTTCTGTCTGTCTCCTCTTGGCAGAAGCCCTGTGTTTCAGACAGGTGAGCATCTGGAAAAACACATCACATCTAGCTCGTGATCATTCTTTTGGGATCTACTGCTCAGGTCGTCACACTCAACTTTCTTAATACTGACCAAAGACTGCTTCTTTCCTAGATTGCCTATGAGATCATACACAAAAGGCTGACACAGCTAAGAAACATTCTGGTCCTTTGTCTGCTTTTTACTACCTCTACTTCTGTGACAGTATGAGATCTGCACTGTAGTTACCCTGTCTTTTAAATCTTTGAGACAGAAGAAAAGAAAGGAAAAAAAATTCCCCAAAAAGGGAAGACAAGTGTGTATGCCAGGAAAACACTGCCAGCATTTTTTTCTTTCTACCCTCTCCATCTTCCCCACCTCATTATACTAAAATAAAACGTAGTTGATGAGCACTCAGGTTGTTGTGCAGTGATACTTTACCAAATGTTTTATCTTGCAGTTCATAAAAAATATTAAATAGAAACTATTCTTAAATGTTTTTCTCAAAAGAAAAAAAACAAAACCCCAGCACCCAAACAAAATAAAATCCCCCCAAAACAAAACAAAAACCCACACACAACACCCCAAAATAAGCAAACAAAAACCCCCAAACAACAACAACAAAAAACCCACCAAAAAAAACACCAAACTTAAATCTCCCTTAAATAAAAAGATTGAGGAAATTTGAGAGGTCCCACTGTGTGACTAATGGATGGAACTGATGAGATAAAAGTGGTTAATTACGTAAGATGATAAAACTTTATTTCTGTTTCATCCTGATAAGCAGCGTAAAGAGTGCCTTTGCCAAATGCAACTGGCTTTAATTATCTTCTGTTTTCTCTGTAGAGTCTGTTCCAACTCCACTGTTACCTGCTGCCAGCCAGGTCAGCCCGTTGCTCTGTGGGAGTTTAGAAGAAGAGTCTCCCTTCCCTTCCTTTGCCCAGGTAAGCCATGTAGCAGAGTAAATCTGGTCAGAATTACTTGTGTCTTAGTTGGGGATTAGTCTGAGAACACAATTGCTTCCCCCACAAAAACGATGTGGGATAAATCTTATGGAGACAGCATAGGGTTTGAGTGCTTGAAGGGGTTCCTAGATTTTCTTGCCACTTAGGGGATACGCAGAATTGTTCTAGTGCATAGGATTTAAACATATCTTACAACTTTTTTGATAGATGTTGAGAGTTGGAAAGGCAAAACCAGAAACATGGCCCAAACCTGCTCCAAAGACAAGAGGTAAGAAAATTTGATGTTACTACTTCAGGTTCTTTACCATGCATCTAAATCTAAGAAATTTTGGAACTTCACAGGAAACATCTGGAGTGTGGAGGGGTGTTTGCACTGCAAAACTTTTTATGCAGTCTTCTGCTTCTCAAGGCCCTTTCCTTCTTTCAGATGAGAACACTTTGGCACTCCCTGTGCCAGTGGATAGTGATGGAGAAAGTGACAGCTCTGACCGCATACCTGTGCCCAGCTTCCAGAATTCCTTCAGCCAAGCTATAGAGGCAGCCCTCCTGAAACTGGACAAACCGTCCACAGCTGATCATTTATCAGGTAAAAGACGGGGGGGAAGAAGGCATGAAAAATTTCTGAAATTAAAATTTAGTATTTCCCGTTCTTCCTCTGGGAGAAGCAAGAGCAGTGATTTTGGGGACCAAAAACTGGCCACAGAACAGTTTTGAAAATTGTCAGGTTGTGGTTTCTGAACAACTTGACTAGGGCTTCTGTTAGCTTAAAGCAGCTCTCTTAGTGGGAGCTGAGATGATCTCCAACTAGCAAAGAATCCTGTTAGGACAAAGATGGCTTTTGACAATCATGTTTGCCATGTCTCTACTGGAACTTAAATTAAGCTTTATCTCAAGGAGTTCAGTTTATGCCCTTTTAAACTAAAAATAACAAAGCTGCTGAACTACCACTTCAGTTTGACCAAAATGTCAAGGTAACTGCTAGCTGAAATTTCAGACTGGGGAGTCTGAAACAAATTGAAATGAACTGAAATGTCCAAGCCTGATGCTGGCTGATAAAACTCATTTGTAATGCTCAGTTCTGATGTTTAGCTTTGGCTTCTGTTTGTGACTGCACTGAATGATGGAGAGAGTTGGACAGGAGGGCCTGGGAGTGTCAGTGAAATGGAGTATCGGCTCCAGTTGTAGTGGGTTTTGGACATGGATGAAAGTGATAACTTGTCTTGAAGGGCAAACTGCTGCATGCTTGCAGTCCTAGGATCGGCTGTTGCAACAGCAACTTTAGAATCAGTTAGGCATATTTATAGGTGTGTTTTAGGTGTGATGGAGTCTCCCTTAGTTTGTCTGCGGTAATTTTTTTGTTAAAATTAAAGTACCTGGTGCTCAGTGAGTTGATAGGAAGCGTCATGGACCTGTAGAAGTCATTTAGGCTAGAGAAGACCATTTATCATTTCTGTGTGATGTTCCTGTTCCATGAGAAGAATGACAGTGTCATTTTAATTCTTCACAGAGGAAAAGGGAGGCAAGAAAAGAAAGAAACAGAAGCAGAAGCTATTGTTCAGCACCTCTGTTGTTCACACAAAGTGATTCTGCTATTCAAGAGAAGTTTCCTCTCCTCGTTTTCTTTTCATTTTGCTTTGTTTTGCTGCTATAGTTTAAGTATTTAAATTTGAACAGACTAAACTTGTGTTTCCAGGGCTTCTAGGGGGTTCAGGAGGAAACCATGACAGTATACGTTGAAGTAAGATCTTTTGATTCCAACTGTTTAATCAGTTTATACTGAAACAAAGTTTTGAAAGAAACAACTCAGCGACAAATCAGCCAAGGCTTCTAGTCTGTGCCAAGTCAGTTCTTTTGGCCTGAGAAGCAGTATGAAAGTCTTTACAGCTGTGTGGCACTGCCAGAATACTGCAATATTGCCTAAGTGAAGAGGCAGAGAGCCTTTATGTCCCTAGAAGTATTCATGGGCAGAAGTCCATCTGACTGTGACAGTAGTGCTGTTTCAGTAAAGCTGTCAGACTGCTCTCTTGAGAAACTGGCTTCCCCTGCACTGGAAATGGGCAAAAGAGCTTCCTGGCTTTAGAGTGTTAGCTGCTATATCTGTTCTTTTTCTAAAGAGCAAGAATTCCTCCTGTTCTCCTGGCTTGGAAAGATTTAAAGCTGAGGTGAGTGTAAAGCAGAACTTGGCTACTTGGTTTTGAAGTGACTCTTGATGAATTTGTGTATTTCAAAATGCATACTGGCACTAGTGGTAGGAGGAACCTCCTGGCTTCTCTCAGTTGTTCAACTATGTTTTTAATGTGGGTGAGTGAGGCTGCTAAATTTTTTTTTTTTTTTTTTTTTTTTTTTTTTTTTTGTGCGAGCCATCTATGGGCTTACACATACATATTGTAACCTGATCATCTAGAATAAACACTCCACCCTAGGGCTCTTGGTAACTAGCTGAATGATGTTTTGACACTGGCTGCTCTTGAATTGGAAGAACAACTGCTAGCTGGACTCTGTAGAAAACGTTTATGCCCCAGCAAGAAACTGGGGTCTCTTGTACTGGCATAAGGGCCTGTACCTACTTGGATCTGAGATGTAAGTTGATCTGCACTAAGCACCTCAGGCTATAAACATGCCTCTTCTGGACCCCTCCCTGCTCTTTCTTTGGGTGGTTGCATTCTGCACTGCTTGTGGTTTGATTTGAGCTAATGAGTTAAGTGGTGTGGATTTTGTTGAATAAAATGAACTATAGGTATAATGTACCAGTCAAGGCCAACAGTTGCAATAAATCATATGCACACACACACTTACAGTACTGCACACTTCCTGAGCACAATACCACTTAGTTGCACAGATTCAAATCTTACCTTCCTACTGCCAGATTTCATGCCAGGGAGCTGGTGTAAAGTACCACCTAACTTACAGTGCAAGACTGACAGGTGTCTTCTGTTATCTTCAGCCCCAGTCGCACCAGTGGTCAGCCTGCATTTGCACAGGCTTTAAATGTTGATGTGCTCTCTCCCTCTGATGCTGTGACTGATCTGAGCAAGGAAGCGTGTGTTTGAGACTCCTGGAGTCAGGTATTCTGTCACTGATAAAGTTGTCGGTTGTGTCCCTACTTAAAAAGTTTATGTCAATACATGGATGCTTCATTTCAAAGCAAGAGGCTACATATTATACAAGTGCTTCCTCAAGGCACTTAAGCATGTGCGCGTGGGAAGCTAGTACCAAAGAGTATACTTCACAAAACTCTGTATGCGGCTGTAAACCAGAAAGAAGGGGGAAAAGGGGGACGTAAAGAATACTTCAGCTGCTGCAGGCAGATAGAGGAAACACTTGCAAAACATTCTCTGAAAGCAGCTTGGCTTCACGCTTGGTCACAATTAACTACACTTGATGGAAAGACAGTACCGCTTGTCAAGAGAGTGCAAAGAAACTAAGACAAGATGCCTGAAAGTGGTAACACATTTTGCTGTTGATGCTTTACTTGCACATTGGAAAATTACTGGTGAGAGTAGAGAAAGCAACTAAGAAAGATTCAAGTATGCAGTTAACTGTGTTCACAGTACTATTGTTGCCTATTTGTAATAGTCATTTTAAGCCATGGGAACAGGAGTAACTACTTAATGTCTAACCAGTATCTGTTGTGTTATCTCTACACATTTATAGTCAACTTTTCTTTGCATTGGGAAGAGAGACAGAATAACTGGAGCTGGTGTAACTCACCTCCACATCTCACAGGCTAGAACAAGTAAGGGTAAGGGAAGTGATGCGGGCAAGGAAGACTGTCCCTTCTGCAGGGGCAGTCTCCACAGGACAGCATCTTCAGATTGTATCTTGTTTTCTTATGGATTCAAGACATAATACCAGCAATGCTACTTTCCTCTAACTGATTGGTGTAAACTTAATAAATATCTAAGCAGTACTTGTACCTATGAGTTTTATAATGAGTTGGATGGAGTTGAGCCTTACAGCTCTACCCTGCATTCCCTGTAATCCCTGCTCCTGTGTACACAACTGGTGCTTTTGTGACTCAAAACAATGGATAGCCCTATGGATAACAGGTGCACTTGAAGATAAGGTAAAAACCAGTAAGATGTTCATGCTTTTTCTGTACTGAAGGAGAGTAATGACATTCCTTGCCCATGCCAACTGCCTAAAGCTTACTTCTACCTCAGCATGAAGATCATATTGAGCTGCTACACTCCTTAGTAAGGAGTGCACGTGGTTTTGACTCCTGGAGTGAAATAGGCAAGTAACCTACTTAAGTAAAACCATGTATTTTTTTTTTTCTAAAAAAATTTATTTAAGAACACTCAGAATGGGGGAAATGAAGTCTAAATATGAACAGATGTTTCTTCTGTTCCCTTCCTTTGCTTAACACTGAAGTTAACCAGTAACATCTTGATTAGACAAGACAGGTGAACAGTAACTAGTAACGTTCAGTCTGTCTCTGTGCCATCATCATCTTCCTCATCTCCACTTTGAGACTGCTCTTCTGCAAGGGAACAGCTCAGCAACGACTTCTGTATACACAGTCTTTCCTCTGCAATAGAGAGAACAGAGGGTCATTACTTGATCTCTTCACATACGCTGGAATATCCTCAACTTCTAAAGAAAGGAACATTTCTCAGTTCAAGAATTCAGAAGTAGCCCAGCATATCCTACAAAAGCCCCAGGAATTGAGGCCACATTTTAGGAAAGCGGCTGGAGGAACTCACCTTCATTTGTGCAGTTTTGCAACAACATCAGCAGCTGTCTTCTGTTATAATGAATTAGAAATTTCTGACATGTTCTTATGGTACCTGTAAGAGTCACAAGAACAATATGTAACAATCTACAAAACCAAGTGTTTCAGAGCTGCTAGTCTATTTTCTGAAGATCATTGTATCAAGTGATGACTTGGCAACAGCTTTATTAATGCCAAGTGCTAAGAAGGGGCTGTAGACTTCATTTCCCCACTCTTAAGTGGTGGAATAATAATTTCTAACATGTAGTGCCTGTTCTTTGCCCCAGGTGGTTAATTTTCAGGACAGGGATGATACTATACTATAAAATACTGTATTTTAAAAAGAAAATAATGTAGTATTTGCTGCTCTGGTTTTGTGTTAAATGTAATGAAGATTCAAGCAGAATTAATGAGGGTCTCAACAAAGAACTGCTGGTGCCTGTTTCTTACTCAGAGCTGCTAGAAGCTGCTAAGTTAGTGACACATAAGATGGGCCTATCGCACCCACAGCAGTAAGATGGGGTTCTTCCATTCTAGCAGGCCTGCATGGTGCGATTAAGCTCCACGGCCTCCCCCAGCCACCGGGGGAGGCTCCCCCCCC